CAGACATGGAATTATCCAAAGTCAGAATTCAGGTGAATGTAAGGGACATGTCCAAAGAGGAACATGTTTACTAAGCCATAGGAAGATGCAGTAATGTGTTCAGTTTGTTTTTACCCAATATTAGACTCCAGCAGCTGACGCTTGAATTCCCTCACAGCTGGGAGGGGCATGGCCAGCTAGGAACCGAGGACCTTGCAGTTGCAAAGCCAGTGTTCTACAGCCAAGGTACACTATCTCTACAAAATTATTAGTGGAATAGTTGCAATGAATTGATAATTAGGAGTAGTTTAAGCAAGATTAGTATAATTATCCCCAACACTTTCCTGTTAATGTGCCTTAAGTTGTTTGAGTTTTCCCTCCTGAATAAAAATAAGCATATTGTAAATCATTAGTTTATGTGGAGACTGAAACGAAACGATTGTTGATTGTGAGATTTTGTCCAAAAGGAGGATCTAGTTGTTTGTTGTTTGGAGGAAAGTTTTTTGGCTTTGTATCTTAAATGTTGCATGAAGAGTTTTTTAAAATCTTATACCAACCTTAAAGGAAAAAAAGAGAGGTCAAGGTATATTTTTTGATGTTGCAGTTATCAGAGAGCACTTAGTTAGTATATGTATGACAAAGTTCTAGAATATAGCTTAGTCAAAAAATGGTTTGGACCATTAATAATTGAAGTGGAACAAGATCTGCTGGGTATTTCTCATGCGTGAAGAAGCAATTGGCAATTGTTTCCATGTTTGGGTTTGTTGGATGTTTATTCAATTTTATAGACCTTTCAGCACATTGATATAATAATTTTTTTTCTAAGAATACAGATGTTTCATGGCATTCATTTCATTAGTTTTAATTTTAACATGGATTTAGATTATGATATAGGTAGGAAGATTATCCTCTCCTGTGTTTTATAAAATTCACAAAATTAGTATTTTCTAGTTCTTGCAGATTACTTGGGTCTTTGCATTGTTCTTGAATTTTCTCAGGGTGTCTTATCCTAGCCAATGTGGCAGTTGATTTTCGGTTGAGAAGTCAGAGGAAAAAAATATATTTCAGAAGATGAAATGGATTAATGTTAGTTGCTCTTATAGGCTAGAATGATTAAAAGAACATTTTATATGAGGAAGGATAGGTTTCGTTAATTGTATAGATTTTGCAATTTTTTTACATATATATTCACAAACTGATGCAAGTGTGTGAGGGTAGGAATTTTAGCATCGGCTTAATGTGAAGTTCGACCATACCTGGAAAAAAAAAATTATTATTATTATTTCATTTCTCCTCCCTTCCCCTACTTTTATCATTACTTTTTATCTCTGTTTCAAGCTCACATTGACTTACTTGAGCAAAATAAGCCTGGGCCAAGTAATTCACAGAACTACTAAGAACTTTTTAAATCACATTCACTATATGAAGAGACATCACTACATGCCTTTCCAGCTCATTTCTTTAGTGTTATTTCAGAGCGTGATGAGGAAGGTCCTTTGTAGAAATATTACAAAGAGAAAGGAAGTGAGAAAAAAAAATGGGTAGAGATTATTTTGGAAGACATATACACTATTTTTTTTTTAACAGATGGTGTGACTGGTATTGGAAGGGTCAATCTAATGAGGAATTTTTGAAATTTATAATTGTTATTATCAGTATCATTGATATTGATATTATTGTCAGAAAAGCATTTGTATAACTTTCTTTTTCCATATTTGATATATGTTTATTATTATTATTGTTATTATTATTATTATTATTATTATTATTATTATTATTATTATTATTATTATCTCTAAATAATTTGATTCTAAGAATCTCACAATAAATCACCAAAAACACTGAATCAGTGCAGTTAACATTGATTTCAATTGTAGATACAAAAGAACCAAAGTTTTTTTTTTCATATGTGATTGTTTTTGTTTATTTATTCACACATGTATAGATTTAGTTTATGCAAATATGTTTGCTTAATTAACCATTTCTACAGCTAACCATATTTAGCTTGCATAGTTACCATAAACCAGATCTTTTTCACTTTTATGCAGGATTACTGTTTTGCTCAATTTGTTATGGTATGCTTTGCCTAAGGGACATTGAATTTTCTGCTTAGAACAGCATTTTAAAGCAATAAGTTTATAGTAAAATGTTACTCTTATAAGTACCTACTGCTATTGCTATTATCATTATGATAAAAAAGCAAAACTTCCTGGACTCTAGTCAGTTACTTTTAAACTGAATGGTGCATATATAATTTAATCCAATATTCATGTGGCTAGTTTTTCTCGCTCTTTGCCTTTTCTTAATTTTTTCCTTTCTTTTCTTTTTTCATTTCCTTTTCTTAGAAGTAAAGGAGGTCACTCTCTTAGCATTTTAGTTTTTAAGATTAGCTGTTTTGATATAAGATAGGTCTTCTCATCCCTTGGAATGGTACACCTTTTTTATGGAAGTGATGCAGTGAATGTACATCAAGCTTTGTAATGTTTAAGGCATATTGTATAAATAAATTTGAGCTTCCTTGTTTTTGCTTTGTCTTCCAAGCTTTAAAGTATCTTTTTTTACGCTGCTGTAACTATGCATTAGCCCTTCACTTGGGATTTTACTTTTATGTTTTCTTAATATTATTGATTTTTGTTTCTGTTGTACTCCTGGCAAATTATTTGTATTTTATTATTTGAAATATTTACCATTTATTTTGTTACCACCTCTCTCAGATAATTTGCTCATTCATTCAGTTTGTAAAGAGGACTGCAGCTTATATTTCTCCATAGTAGGAGAGTTTTTTTTTATGCCTTGTCCATGTGAAAATTGCACAAATAGCGGGTTCTTGGTTTTTGGTCTTGAATGGCTGTTGTAGATGTAGGCTAAGTTAAAGAAAAAAAGGAAAGTGTACTTAAAATTGGCATAGCAAGGAAAATAATTAAGGATGTAAAGATTGCTATTAGTTGTGGTGTTTAAAACTACTTATTATGGTGTTAAACATTACTTTGAAATTATGTGGAATCATAAGCAAGTTATTTATTAAAGATGCTCCCAGAACATTACAGAAAAAAATAATTTTAGAAAGATTTTTAAAGCATCATTTATAATGTAAATTTCTGGGAATGTTAAGGATCTCTCTGTTAGTGTTTATATCTTTTTTATATCCATCATCTTTATATCTCTTAATATGTTTCATCCCTTATCCCAGTCAATGCTGCTACATTTAAAAGATCAGGCCAGTAAAAGAATGAACATGAAGGATAATTTCATTCCTGTCATGATATTTTTTAAAGTCATCATTTCTTGGTATAATGAAAGAAACAGTCCCAAGTGATTCTGAGCCGTGCTTTAAAGATCAGTCATAAGGGCAGTCTGATTTTGTGCTTCTGGTCACTATTGTTACTATAAGAAAAAGGTTTAGATATAGCATATTTTTTATCTTTATCAACTAAGTTTGTCTGTGTAGGTTTGTAACACGCATGCATGTGCGCACGCACGCACGCACACACACGCACACGCACACACAACACACACACACACACACACACCACAACACAACACACACACACACACAACACACACTGTACGCACACACACACACACACACAACACACACACACACACACACACACACACACACACACAACACCACTGTCACACACACACACACACACATACACTGTCACACAACACACACACTTCACACACATTGTCTCAACACACACCTGTCTCACACACACACACTGTCTCACAGCACACAACTATGTTTTAGTTGCTTCTCACCTGTTCACACACAACACAGGTTGTCTCACACAACACACTGTCTCACACACGAAACACTGTCTAACAAGCAACACAGGTTGTCCTGCACACACACTCCACATTTTGTCGGTCACCACAAAACATCTGTCGATGTACACACGATTCCTATCTCACACAGCTCACATCTACACACACGCACTACTTTGCACCATTTGTCACACACACACACCACCAACACACAACACACACACACACTCACATCTATCACAAACCACACCAGCACAACCATTCACACACACAACACACACCACACACATATAACACACAGCACATGGTCCATCACACACAACCATCATTTGTCTAACACCAACATTCACTGTCAGGCCACACATACACACTACACTATCACATCACCACCACCTGTCCACACACACTTACACATACTGTTGGCTCTCACATACAGCCACTAGCACTGTCAGCCACACACGAACGTACACTACTCTTATCTCTCACCGACCTTGCTGTCCACACACACATCCAACACATCTTGTCTACACACACACATTGTGTCACACTGTCCACACACCGACATCACACACTGTCCCAGTCACACACACACTGTCAGACACCATTCCACACTGTCTACTACTCACACACAACACACACTACACTGTCCAGCAGTTCTCTCCCACGACCAACACAAACCAACATGTCTAATTCCACACCAACACACTGGTTCTACTTCATCCACCATTGCACACTCTGCTCACTCATCGCACACTAGCCTGTCACACACAAAACACACTGGGTCTCAGACATCTCAATCACGTCATTACCCACTTGTTCACACACTGTTCAATCCTATAATACTATATCACATCTGTCTTCAGCTAAACATCAACACACACACACAATTTTTTGTTCACTACACACACAGCACACACACACACCAACCATATCACAAAACTCACAGTGTACATAGCTGGGACAAGTCTGACACACACAATAATGTCACACACAGTATGTACAGACATCACTCACACGACAACACACAGTTAGTACTGTATACCTCTCACACACACAAACACACAGTTTGAGTCACCGCATTCCACACTCGCAGCACACTTCACTGTTAATATAGTATTATGTCGATTGTGACTTAATCTTCTCTAGTTGAGTAGTTATTATAATGTCTGTGCAAATGAATTTACGTAGTACGTTACTCAGCCACTACGCGTCTATGACGCCGGGACATAAGGCATTCCAGATCAAGACAACACTCCAGATCCTTCAAAATATAGGGGCACTTAGGGACACTATATATAAGAATTTAGTTAGTAAACGCATTCAGAATTAGTTTAAAGCTCATTACTATTGTGGGACTGGTTTGTATTAGAATAAAATGTTTTATAATTGTTAGTCTATAATAGATAATCTACTGAGTATTTTTCATTAGATTTTACTATCTCTGGTGTGATATGGTGCCACTACTATGTTTTGTATTTTTAGATTATATTAAAGATTAGGTATATATGAGAAATTGTTGTAGTTATGGTGTGACTCACTCGATATCATTCAGGTGAGCAACTTTAGAGAGCTAGCATAGTCTATGCTCGGAGGTTAATTTTGGAGGAAATGTGGTAGAAGGTTCGCGTGACGCAGTAGCGAACACTTGAGTAGCAATGTGTTAAATCTCCTTTAACCTATGATAGAGTAAGGTCTAAATAATTGGACAGGCTTGATTAGTGTGTCATAGTTATCTTCTATATATATCATACAGTTATAGCGGAGGAGAAGTGAGATGGTGAAAATTATAGTTATGTACGTGGATAATGTAATGTTTCTCTCATCATTGCGCAGATTGAGATGCATATTACTTGAGTAGTGGATGTGTTTACACACTGTCTTTCATAGTTGTAACAGTCACAATGACAGATTGACATAGATTGTAGCAACCTTTACTATTTGCGCCTGATATACACGATATGATCTCTTGGAGAATGTGCTAAAGAAAACAGCACACAACGTTAAGAATTATATATATTCGCCTATATAAAAATAACAGAAGAAAAAATATGAGATAAGATACACTAATTTTAGAATTTGATCTTTTAATATATGGTGTTTGTTGTCATTGTGTTTATGTTTGATATCTGTAACGCACACACTGTAATAAATTGTGGCTTTACTGTATGTACAGACACTGTCAAAGTGAGACCTGTAGAGTTGCAGAGTGTAAATAGAGTGTAAGAAAATCTACTATAAGAAGACTCTGCATGATACTCATGCATTTAAATTTTGAATGTGAGCATCGTGATACTAGTGGAAGTCAGCAAATATGGTATAACCTGTGGATGACTATGCCAAACGATGAGGCTATCTACAACAATCAACGCCATGTACCTTCAACACAGTGTCATTACATAGAGACAGTAGAAGATGTAAACAAACAAAATCCATATGTCACGAAAAACAATATACAATAAAGTGACAAAACATGGGGAGAAAATAAGAGCAATAGGTGGCACTAGTCATCGCATGGTGACTGCAGTGTGTATGGATGAAAAGGTACTTCAGTTTACAATCTTTACTTTCAGATATATCTTATGAGAAATATAGAAAGTCAGAATATCAGTAACCACATAACCACACCTTATCTTTACAGTTATTCATTGTCATTCATACTTTCTATATAGAGAGAAACATTTCTCATGTTCTACAGAAAGCTGTGAATGGCAGATCATGGTAGAACAATACTTGATGACTTTCAGCATATTGTATGCAAAATAAAGCATGTTAAGTATAAGTGATCTATATTAGCAATTGTATTTTTTTACTTATTTGTAATTATTGGTGTAATATTGATCTGTAATAATGTTTATGCAAATAGGAATATTTGAGAAATTATTAGATCTGAAGAGAACTCAGTATTACATACCTGTTCAGTATGAAAAATATTTTTTTGAGGTAGCTAAATTCACCTTTATGAGATAACACTGTATTTATTAAAGATGTTATTTGTATGCAACTTAGATTATGAAGAGGTTCATATTGTGGAAGTACTTAGACTGTGTAATGTTCATATGCTGACATGACACATTTCAACATTTTGATTGTGAAAATGTAAGTTGTGTAGATAATTCCCATACCCCCATCCACCCAACGCACATGATAAAGGTGTGATGTCCATCACAGAATGTTTTGATTGGTCTTGATCATTTTAGTGTTGCTTTTGTGTTTGTTACTTGCAGCAAGAAACACAAGTAATTCCCATTGCCGTAGGTTTGGTTTCCTTAATCTTTTTCTCTCTTTGAAGCAACCACAGACAGAATTATATGAAGACCAGTTTCAAATGTACAAGATGCAAAGCAAATCAACATAGTCAGGTTTCCCCATACCCTATGTTCAGAGTTTGAACTTTATTTTCAATAGTAAATCAGTATAAACAAATAGGTAGTGTAACAAAGAGCAGGAAGATAAAACAGAGTAACTTTTTTGTGGCTGTAAATGCTTTTTTACTTAATTTGAAGTGCCTTTGATACCATGTGATAATTGGATTTAGGTTGATTTGCAAAAACCTCATCAAAATCACCAGTTGTGTATATACAAGTAAACAGAGTATTCTTTATACTGTTGCAATATGTGTAATCACATAGACATGTAGTATTTAAAATTTTCATTTTATCATGTACATTACTGTATGTATGCTCATTGCTTTTGGTACTCATAAGAATACCTTCATATATGTTCAACATATTGTAATACAAATATAGATTT